CTTGAATCCCCTCTAGGCTATGCAGCTCGACCAAGTAGCTCAACCCTACTCCCTGTATTGCATTGACCATGATTTTGGGTGAAATCATGCTTCTGCGCAGACCGACATCTCATTGCAACACCACCTTCTTCCCCTCTATCTAAATCTCCATAGTCAAGGACTTCCAGTTCACCTTTGTCACCCCAATCGTCTGTAACCACTTCATACCTAGGATCACATTGGTGCTCCCCAAATCCAATGTTAGAAAATCTCCACTATTTGTACGTCATAAAGCGCCAAAACCAACCCCTGCAAATTCCCCAAATCTGTACGATTCATGTTCTCATCATGACTCCAAAGCTTCCTGTATTCACCAACTTCAATCCCTACCTTTCATGTTCCCATCATGACTCCAAAGCTCCCTGTATCCACCAACTTCAATCCTAACTAATTCACGACCCGATTGGAGATGAAGTTATGAGTAGCCCACTATCCACCAAAACTACCACTGACTGCTCCCCAATCTGCCCTCTCGCCTTCACGGTGAGACTTGGAGTAAACCTCACCACTGAATTAAGGGACAATTCCGCAACATCTAGATGTCAGTGCTCCCCTCCTGCTTCCTACACCATATTCTCACTGTCAGTCTCCTCGCAAACCATAAGGACATGGAGTGTACGGCCCTTGCACCGATTACCTGGTGCATACTTCTCATCAAAGTTAAAGCATAGATCTTTCGCTTTCTTGTCCAGCATCTCTGCCTTTGTGAGGCACTTGAAGTTGGCCCCCGGGTAAGCTTCCCCACCTTTGTTCCTCCGTGCTTCCCGCTGAAATGACATTGTCTAGGTCCTCAGTGCCAGTAAAGTCAAGGTACTTCTGTAAGAGCCACTCACAACCCCTCTTTTAGTGCTCTTTTCCACCTGTCTCCAATCCTACACTATCTAGGCTAGCTCCATCATCGCGTATAACCTCCTCAGGCGCAGCAATAGAACGTCCTCTCATATGTTGGGCTTGGGGCCCTTCATGAATTTTTCTCCAACACTAACTCTGAAATTCCCCTCAACATTCTTGAGACAAGGAAGGAGTTGCTCGTGTAGGTCTCCTTCCCTATTAGCTCGGAAACGTTCCAACAAGCAATCCTTAAACTCCTCCCACAAACGGATTGAATATCTAGCTTCTCTCCACTGCACCAAGCGAGGGCTTTCCTCTCCAAACGTAACCCTGCGGCTGTAAGCTTCTACTCCTCTTTCAACCCATTCACCGCATAATACCTCTCCACTCGATATACCCACTCATGGGCATCCACCCCTTCGAACACCGACATCTTCAACTTTCTCACCTTCACTTCTCCACCCCAACTTCCTCTTCCGCCATTGGCTCCCCCGTGTATCGAGGGTGGGAATCCTACCTTTCTTCCATCTGCCACTCATGACCCGATCCCCATGGCTTGGTTCATCCCCCTCATCCTCCGGTTGGCTATTCTCCTTGTCCAAACGGCCTCCCATAGTGCTCGGTCACTCCACCACCCCCACCATAAAACTCCCTTCTTATTGTCCCCCTATTCGGAATCCCTAATTCGCCCCTTGTCGGAGCTGTGGGAGGTGGTTCTTGATGAAAGAAGCTTTCCTCATCCAATTCTTCCTATCTGATCTCATTTTCCTTAGTTTCGGCCAAGGTCCTAGTCGATTCTGGGTTGGGGTTGGCAATCAGAACCACCGATGGAGTTTTAGATTGAATCTCCATTAGCTTCTTTATCATCTCCTCCACCCATCCAAATTAGTTTTCCATAGATGAAAAACATTTCTTCCATAGTTGACAACGTCTCCTCCACGCCAAATTTAAATTGCTCCATCTCGCCTTCCAAAGCATCAACCTTCTTTGCTGTCATTGTCTCCAAAAAACCTCGCTCTTATATCAATTTTATACGTCTTGGAAGTAAAATCAGCAAACAAAAGAGAAGAAAAGCGTAGGAGCACAAAGATAATGATTGTTTTTCGATTTCTCCTAAAAAATAATGCAAGATACAATTGATGTACTATTCGAGAGTTAGATCGGCTCTCCCACAACCCTAGAAGCCGCTAGTAAACTCACAAAAAAGACTACAACAACACAAATCACAGCATGCTGAAAATACAACATGGTTAGCTATAAATAGGCTTCTCTAATTCAGTAATTCTCTCCTAAATTAGCCCCCTTTCCTAAATTGATTCCATCTCTAATTTGAATTCAATTTGGATATCTTTCTCTAAAATATTTCCTCACAATTTTAATTAAAACCTTCCTAAATATCTCCACCTTTATTTCTCCTCCTTACATATTGAATTACAGCTTTTATGGGCCCCACAAGGGGGGCGAACTCCCTTCCCTAATCTGCTGGCTCCCGCCCAGAGGATCTACAGCGTTCGGCTGGATCCTGTGGTTCAGTTGGCTCCTGCTCGCAGAAGAGGGCGTAACAACATGCTTCTTCTTTTGCTAGTGTAGGTAAATGGCAATATTTTTAAGTACATACCGTGAAATATCACCATTGTATTCATGTCCATAAACATCTTAGAAAGTATCAAGAATCATAAACAATCAATGACGTATCACAGGTGTAAACTTATGGAACATGAATAAGACAAGCCTACAAGTACAACAATCTAATGATTGAACAGAGTTTCCGATAGCCAAATATGATGAAAATTTATGGCACAGGAAGCAATAGGCTTGAGGGATAAGTACTAAACCAGTTAAAAAATAAAACCACAATCTCAGAATGTTTTAAATAAAGAAGTGTGAGAACATACAAGAGCACTTTAATTTCGGGTGTCGGTCGTCTCTTTTGACCAATTTCATCCGATTTGATTGCGACGGGCCTTGATCTAGGAAAATTTGATATCCTGATCGCAATGATGCTGTCCGTTTGGCAATCAGAGGTCTTTTGACCCTTCAAGTGACATGTGGTGCTAAGGTTCATATTGCTTTATTTATCAGTTTGTGTCTTTTCTCGTGTGGTTTGAGATATAGGGGTCAACATACCCACCCATGGGCATCCACCCCTTCGAACACCGACATCTTCAACTTCCTCACCTTCACTTCTCCACCCCAACTTCCTCGCCCGCCATTGGCTCCCCCATGTATCGAGGGTGGGAATCCCACCTTTCTTCCATCTGCCACTCATGACCCGATCCCCATGGCTTGGTTCATCCCCCTCATCCTCCGGTTGGCTATTCTCCTTGCCCAAACGGCCTCCCATAGTGTGCTCGGTCACTCCACCACCCCCACCATAAAACTCCCTTCTTATAGTCCCCCTATTCGGAATCCCTAATTCGCCCCTTATCGGAGCTGTGGGAGGTGGTTCTTGATGAAAGAAGCTTTCCTCATCCAACTCTTACTATCTGATCTCATTTTCCTTAGTTTCGGCCAAGGTCCTAGTCGATTCTAGGTTGGGGTTGGCAATCAGAACCACCGGTGGAGTTTTAGATTGAATCTCCATTAGCTTCTTTATCATCTCCTCCACCCATCCAAATCAGTTTTCCATAGATGAAAAACATTTCTTCCATAGTTGAGAACTTCTTCTCCACGCCAAATTTGAATTGCTCCATCTCGCCTTCCAAAGCATCTACCTTCTTTGCTGCCATTGTCTCCGAAAAATCTCGCTCTTATATCAATTTTATACGTCTTGGAAGTAAAATCAGCAAACAAAAAAGAAGAAAAGCGTAGGAGCACAAATATAATGATTGTTTTTCGATTTCTCCTAAAAAATAATGCAATATACAATTGATGTACTATTCGAGAGTTAGATCGGCTCTCCCACAACCCAAGAAGCAGCTAGGAAACTCACAAAAAAGACAACAACAACACAAATCACAGCATGCTGAAAATACAACATGGTTAGCTATAAATACGCTGCTCGAATTCAGTAATTCCCTCCTAAATTAGCCCCCTTTCCTAAATTGATTTCATCTCTAATTTGAATTCAATTTGGATCTCTTTCTCTAAAATATTTCCTCAAAATTTTAATTAAAACCTTCCTAAATATCTCCACATTTATTTCTCCTCCTTACATATTGAATTACAGCTTTTATGGGCCCCACAAGGGGGGCCGAACTCCCTTCCCTAATCTGCTGGCTCCCGCCCAGAGAATCTACAGCGTTCGGCTGGATCCCGTGGTTCAGCTGGCTCCTGCTCGCAGAAGAGGGCGTAACAACATGCTTCTTCTTTTGCTAGTGTAGGTAAATGGCAATATTTTTAAGTACATACCGTGAAATATCACCATTGTATTCATGTCCATAAACATCTTAGAAAGTATCAAGAATCATAAACAATCAATGACGTATCACAGGTGTAAACTTATGGAACATGAATAAGACAAGCCTACAAGTACAACAATCTAATGATTGAACAGAGTTTCCGATAGCCAAATATGATGAAAATTTATGGCACAGGAAGCAATAGGCTTGAGGGATAAGTACTAAACCAGTTAAAAAATAAAACCACAATCTCAGAATGTTTTAAATAAAGAAGTGTGAGAACATACAAGAAAAAGCCTTTATCCCATTAGAGTGTGAGCACATGCCCACCAAAATATACAAACATAAGAAATGATGAACGGATGAATGCATATCAATCAAAGCAAAATATAATGAGAATTGGCTAAAAAAAGGTGGCCAGTGACTGCTATAAAAACTACAGTTCTTAATGGAAAACCAGCGTGCAATCTAAAGAAGATTTGTCATGAAAGCTACAACACTAAAACACAAAACAATATATCCAAAAAAAAAGTCCAAAACATGTGATGAATTATTGCAAAGAAACTAATCACACGAGTGCAAACATAAAAAAGAAAGCATATATACCACTGATAGCTGGAAGCATAAAAAAATCAATAAAAAACTTTTGATTAATAATTACCACAGCCTAGAGAACTGAATGAGAACGAGGTAATTAAGATTTATCCAACCTAGTTTATCACAGTGTTTGCTAGCATGAAACTCCTTTGCAGGTCAGTCTCAGGACAAGAAACAAAATTAAAGTTATACCTAAATTTGGTCGAAATGAATCTTCTGAAATTGGCAACGAACATTTAAAACAAGCTTTCTGCAGGCAAAACACAACAATAAATCATCAATTTTATCATAGTAAATATAATCTTATCAATATCTCAAATATAAAGTACCATTTCCTGGACACTATGAAAACAGACTAAAAGAATGATTAAGCATAAGTAGCAATCCGCGAGTTAGCTGATATAATTATCCAACATGAAAGGGTGTAATAGATTAACAGGTTAATATCTAGCAAATCACTGAAATTTGGTTTGTGCTTTGAACCTGGGTCAATATTTTTGTAAAAGTTGCATTTAGATCGCTAGCGCATTTGGAGATTTCGTTACAAATCCCTCCATAGTTTTCGGTCATCAAGAAGTTCATTTATTTTAATGGCGTTAAATATTTAGTTAATTTGACCAAAAGACCCCATATTCATCTTCTTCTCAAGCTTTCAAACTATGGTTAATCTTCATTGCAGGCGATGCTCCATGCCTACGAGAGTCATTAAAGGCCCTCGCATTTGTGGGCATGGAGGGAGTCAAGGTTAGTTTTTTGGTATATTGTCTATGTAATTATTCTAGTTTTTGGTTCTAAGATAAATGGCTCTTTCCAAAAACAATCTTCTCGGTTGGATCCAGTTGGCATGATTGTTGATGATTTGTAAATTGTCCATATAATTAGTTTTTTTCTTGTTTGCTTGCTGACGATTTCTATTTGAAGCCAACTTTTTCCTTACCCTTGTCCTTGATGTTGCCTTACATTTCCGTGTAGAGAGGCCCATGCCCTCCTCCCTCTTCAAACCAATAATTATTTATGTTATTTCCTTCTTACTATTACTATGCATTTTCTTCCTCTATTATACTTTGATTGTTTGTCTGTTAATGTTTAGTTTTGTTTGATTTAATTCAGTAAATTGTTAAAGACATTGTGGTAAGATATCATTGCTTTGACTTTTTTTAATTATTGTTTCTTATGTTGTTCAATTTACAGTATTATTATTTTAATGTAAGTCACATTGCTGCATTTACTGTTAAGTATTTTGACATACTATTTCTTATTATTACAACCATGATAGTTTTATTTGGAAATCTAGCTGCTTTCATCGCAATGATAATTTTATCTTTCAATCTAATTGCCTTTCGTTAACCTCCATAATGTTAAAATAATCTTATATTCTATTTATATGACATTGATAGTGCTATGGCTCCATATGAACTTTATGCTATTGATGCATTATTTGGTATTAATGAGTATGGGCTCCAAAGAGCTAAGCCTTCCTCCCTCTTGCCTTGTGCAGAACTTCACATGCATACGTAAATCAACTAACTGGTATTAGTCAATGGAAATTAAGATCGTAAAAAAAAAATCTAAAACTCCCCTGAATATTCATGCGTTGCCAATTTAGTCCCCAAAAGTATCACGTCTCTCCAATTTAGTACATCCATTATGCAAAATTAAACAAAAATGGTCCTCATGTTATAATTATGATATAAAATTGATACTAATTTAATCATGCGACTAGTGAGCAATTAAAAAAAAACAATGATCAATAAAGACATACCAATACTATCACTCAAATCATTAGAGAGGCTTAAGTATATTAAACAACATTAAATATGCAAGTAAACCATGTTGAAGATAGAGATAAAGAGAAACATGAGAGGAGCTAATCCCCAAAAGGCGTGCCAAAAGAAGTCCTTTCTTCATTTTATAGTCAACCATCATAATTACATCTCTCAACTACAATTAGTATAACAATAAAAATTATTCAAAATTCAGAGCTGCCCATTATCAAATAAAAATAAACTATTTCCACACGACAAATGTCATTTTAACCATTAGTATTTAACTTCTAGCAATATTATATTAAATAATATTGAAACTATATGAACTAATAAGGATTAAGATAAGCAACATACATTGCATCAATTCCACTAGGCTACAAAAAGCACTAGGAGAGTTAAAATGTTGTTTGAGGAAGGATTCAAGATCTATCCTTGTAATGTGAAACCACCGAAATCCATCAAAAAAACAGAGATGAATGAGAAATCCATCATTTGATGAGGTACTAGAAAGGAAATACATTCCAAAAAGGAAGAAATGAAGATGAAGAGCACAATCATAAGAAAATATAAATAGAAGACTCTCGTCGTAGATCCTCCAAACATTAAGCTCTAAAAATATATCTCCATGCTTGGAGGTCTTCATGAACACTGATAAACAAATCCAAACTAACTAAAATATTGGTGATCCAAATGACCTTTAAAATCAATCATAATGACAATTTATGTAAAAATTTCTAATAATTGGCATATACACATGCCACATTAAATAATCCTAAAAAAATAATAGCTTGTGACTAAGGATTGACGTTGAACAATCCTGTTTTATGACTAGGTGGATAAAACCTTCCTATCCTTTATTTTATATATTCAGATGAAATAAAATGATAGAAAAAATTATGACTGCCATTTTGTTAGAATTTAATCAACCATCGGCCTTCAATTACATTTGAATTTTATATGATGGATTTATAATTAGATAGCCAAAGCTTATTCTATTCAAAACTAACTCGTATATTTTATTACTATTCCTAATTTCTTTCAAAATTTTATCCCAAATCCTTTTTTGTATAAACCTTTGACATGTTAAATTTATCCTTGCTCTATGTTTTAGCAATGCAGTCACGACTTTAGAAAGAGTCTCTAAGCAACTCACTGAATGATATTCCATGTGTTGTACATAATCATCCGCCTAACACCCTTGAAAACTTTTTTTTTTTGCACTAGAATGAATCTTCATATCATCCACCAAACGGCCCAGAAGACTTCTTTTGTACTAGTTGGGTAGAGAAACCTTTTTCATATCATCAATATAGCTCAAAAGATTTAAAAAATAAAAAAGTATTTTAAACACATTACAAAACCCATAAGTGGATTGGTTACACAAAAACTGAAACTCCATTGTACTAGAATCTTCATCAACTAAAGTGAATTCTGAAAAAATTTGAGGGGTCAAGTATTGGTGTTAGAGCTCATACCAATTGAATATATCTTCGGTACACACTTTGCATAAAAGCACACGCTTGGAAGAATATTGAATAAAAAGGGACTTCTATGGTTAAGATTTAATAACCAAAAACACTAAAGGGGCTGTTTGGTTTACCCAAAAAGGAATGCAAAGTATTCCAAATGCAAGAGATTTCAAATTTTTAGTGTTTGGTTTGATGAAGAAGGAATACAGTGTAAATCTTTAGGGATTCTTTTTTCACTTTGTAGTTCATTTTTTATGTATTGTAAACTCACATATTTTTAGTTGGATTCATTTTTCACCGCAAGTTGACTGCGTTGTCACCTCTATCGTTGTCATTGCCTCTTCCACTGGAGTTGGCGCAATCACTTCAAATAAATTTAATTACAGTACATTTATTTTACTCTAAGGGGTTGTTTGATTTACCACAATTAGCATAAACTATAAAGTAAACACACGCACTTCTCAAATTTTGACGTTTGGTTCGACGTAAAGTAAATGAATAGTAAAAATGTAAAACATTACAAAGTCATTATGCGATGTATTCAGCATGTATTCAAACCCCGCTAAAATCAAGTGGGTTCCAAATACACCGCTCTTCTGTGGCGTAAAAAAGGAGCGGAACCCCAACAGCGTGTCTTTCTCCCACAACGTCTTGCTTCCCTTCGCAAAGCCATCTCGTCGTTACTTCCACAAAATTGAGTGCCTGTTGACAATCTTTGCAGCACGTATCAAGTGCCTATTGACGACCTTCATAGCCTGTAAGTGTCTTGCCCGCGACACTTCTTCTTCCCTCCACAGCATGCCACGACCTAGGTATCTTTTCCCGAGACACATATTGGTCTCACTAGCAACCTAGGTATCTTTTCTCCCCATTTCAATTCACATTTTATTCCAATTAGAAATTTCAATTTGTTTTCTCTGTTTTTAACGTTCTAGGAAGAACAAAATCTGCATTTTCTCCCATCTTATGATTTTTTGGCTACCATTTTCTTCTTCTCAAAGAAAATGTCGAGCTCTGCCGAAGTATAGGTGATCAAATTTTCTATCTCCAGGCATTTGAATAAATGATAATTGACAAATGCTTTGAGGTCATAGTTTTGAAAAATATCTGCTTAAAAAATTGAAAATGTTATGAAATCCTTGTAAGAACATATGTGCGGATAGTGTTACTCAAGTAGTTAATGCTATTCGGAGTACATCAAGAGTCACCAAGGAAAGAAAAATGTTCAGTGAGCTGATGATTAAGCTTTCAAGTATCTTTGACTTTTTCGAGGAAGAGATTGATACAATATATGACAACTTATCGAATTCTACAATGATGAAATCATTCCTCTCAAAACCTATGAAATCGAAGGTTAGGTAGATGTGTAAAGAGCTAGGAAAATGAATTATGTGGTGAAAAATGTTAGAACTTTGAATTGTAATAGCTAGATATTTTTGGAGTTATTTTGTATTATATATATAAACATTTTTAGTTGTCGTGTCTTCAAGTGTATTTTGGATTTATGAAACATTAATGATAATGTTGAGAATGTTTGTAGCAATATTAAGTTTACTCTAGGTATGATTGCTCATTTTCATGTGTCTGATTTATATTTTCAAGTGCTCTGACATATGAAAGTTTCATATTGTTCAAATAATAAATATCATGTTAAAACATTGAATAGTATTGTTGTCATTCCATTTCAATAGTATACTAAACTTGATACTACACATTATATCAAACAGCACAAAAGTATTCAAAATACTCTGCTTTTATTTTACACTGCATATACCTCACCAAACAAGAAAAACAATTCTCTTACATTTACTTTATAGACAACCAAACAGCTCCAAAGCATTATAAATACATTGCATTTACTTTATACTGTATTTATTTTTCAAGCAATCAAATAGTCCCTAAATTCCTTTTTCAGCAAACCAAATAGCCCATAAGTAAAAAAACGTATTGTAAAACTTATGCACAATCTATGAAAATCATTTAAACGACTTCTCAAATTGAGCAATGCAGGTACACATATATAATAAATATCAAGAAGTGATATCTTCTTTCTTTTGCACATATCTACATAATGACTAAAATGCAAATGAAAACAACATAATTTGCATACTAAAAAGAACTTACAATTCTTTGAACATGTTGCATTCCACCGCTTCCAAAGGAATGCCCACAAGGTAGAATTATTGCATCATCCATAAGGACACCACTAGATAACAAATAAATAAATAAATATAAGAAAAGCATTTTTTTTCTTTTGTAGTGAAGAGGATCGAAAAAGAGTTAGTACTAAAAAAATGAAATTAACTTGGAAACAAATGCATTATACAAACCAACAAAGGCCAACAAAAACATGGTCAGTGCTATATGGACTAATTGATGTTGAAAGAAAATATATCATGGACCCAAACATTCACAACCCCAAGGAATCATCAATAGACATTCTAGGAGATAAGTAGGCAATATTTGAAATAAAAGAAAGGGCGTTGGGCAAAGATGCTACTAATATGGGGTTGAGCCCTTCAATATTAAAGTGAAATGATGCAAAATCAATCAATATCATATTATCTTAAAAAAATTTCTAAAGTACTTCAACAGAATAAACATTTTTGGGTTTTTTGCTATATGTTGCAACCACATGGCTTTTCAAAAACCTGTCACAACACAATTTTGATTCATTTGAAACAACAACAACAACATTAAGCCTTTATCCCACTACGTGGGGTCAGCTTATTGTAACATAAAATAAAAATCACTAACATAGATATTGTAAGGTGTACCCACTCTATGATTTAAGGACCATAAAAAAAATGGGCTAGTCGAGAAGCTCATTCATTTTTTGTAAAAATAGCAGTGACTTTATTTCATGTAGCACACTGAAAATAACAATGTGAAGACTAATTTTCTGAAATAAATCCCATCCTATGAAGCATTTAGGTATACAAACATTATGAGGTACTCAACCAGAAATTTAAAGCTAGATTCATATTAAAAAATTGAATAATCTATGAAACCAAAAGTTAGAAGGGCTCCATGTTCTCTACTTATTGAAAGAGATATTTAGTATATTTAACTTAACAAAGTGCAAACTTTTAGCCTGAAATAGTCCCAAATGAAAAATAACTATTGAGATTAATACTGATAACTCCAAATAGACAAAAAGGTTAATATCTTGAGAAGAAAATAACCCGGATAGACTACATCGTTTAGCAGTAGATTTTAACTATACTACATCAAATATATAGAAAGAAAGCATTTGTTGTAATGATGCTGATTTCACAAAAGCTGATGTGCACATGCACTAGAAAAACAATTTGATTTAAGCAAACCAATTGGCCGCTGTAAGGGAGGAAGGTAAGTGCTAATTAGATACTTGTGACAATAAATAACTTTCATAGATGGAGTGAAAAATATTGGTCACGTTCGAAAAGGCTATTAGTACAAACTCACGTAACAGGATCAGAAAGATGTGCTCGTATAGATTCTCCAGGATAAACCGAAAAACTAGCTTCCTTTCTGCCACTGAAACCATATCCATTTTCTCCTCCTAAAGCCTTTCGCACAGAAGTAGACCCATCAACTCCATGAAAAATCTGACTGCAGTAGAGCTCAGGCTCTACCACAGTGATTGCATTCTCATAATTATTCCCTCCTTCACAGTGGTGATGCTGCTCACCTGAATTTCCCCTCATTTCATTCACCTTGGCCATAACTGTTCTACTCAGTCCTAAAACACACATAAATGCTCAAAAAACAAACAACAGACATTAAATAAAATCAAAGTCAAGAATTCCCCCCTTTCTCACCAAAACAGGAATGGTGTTCCTGCAGGTTTGCCTTGTCACTGCAGATCTTCTCCGAACTACTCTGTACACTATCACTGCTATTATTGTTATTCTTATTAGCATTCCCCAAATCAACAGAAACCAAGCCGTCAACCTCGCCATCCCCTTCGTCGAGTTCATCATCTTCAACCCCATCTTCCTCATCATCCTCGTCCCCATCCCCATCCGATCCATCTCCACCGCTCCCCGAACCCCCATTGCCTTCAATATTCCAGCCTCGAGTACGGCCATTCCCCTCATCCCGCTCAATTCGTCCAGGTGTAAGGTACAAGCTCCGACGCAACGCCGCCTCCTGATTCTGAAACAAATGTACCTCTCCCTTATCGTTGGGGAACAACTTGTTACCCTCCATGACGAAGCCGCAAGCGGGGCGGGACTTCCGGTGTTCTACGCAGCTACCAGTGAGGGCAAAGGGAATTGAGTCATCGCGAAATACCATCCGGGAGCTGGATCCGTTCTCCATCCTCTGCGATTGGACAAGACGCAACTCCTCGGATGCCATGGCGGCGCCCAGAAACCCTAAGTGCCGGTATGACGAATCAAGAGATCTTGATGACGGGCTGGAGTGAGGAGGAAGATCCCGGTGGTGATTATGATCGGCGGCGGTAGCATATCTTACCGTGATCGGGGATGGGGAGAGACTCGTTTCTTCAAGAAAGGAGATGAGGTGCTTCAGTAGGGTTTTTTGTTTTATTCCGCCATTTTCGAGGGAGAGGAGAAAAGAAAACTACTGAGGTTTTCTTCTTCTTCTTCTTCTCTCTCTCACTCACTCTCTCAGTTTCGCTAACACATTTGGTCGGAGACGTTGTCGGAGAACGGAGTCGGAGGAGGCTGAGAAAGATCCGCGAACGAAGGTCGATTACGTGGATACCATCAGAGACGTTCGTTTACACGGCGGGAGAGACCAAAACTACAAGCCGCGTGTCGGTACCAAATCATTTATTATTTAACACGTGGCATTATAGGTAATTTTATTTTTTAGAATGAAATTGAGCATAATTGTCTCTATTTTTTTAAAAAATAAAAAAAAAATCACGGTAGAAAATTTAATTAATTACAAAATTCGAATACAATTTATTAGGTTCAATATTTTATTTAAATCGATTAATTGAAAAATAATATATTAAAAAATAATTTTAGAAGAAGTAAAAAAAATTATCTCAAATGAAACTTATTTTTTTATAGCAAATCATACATAAATTCTAATGTAAGTTTTATCACTCAAATAAATTATAATATTCTAATTAATGCTTCATTTATTTAATTTTTAGTGAACCAAAGGCTAAATAAGTTTATATTGATGTGGTGGGCTTGAAATAAAATTTGGTTCATCACCCATACTTTATAATTCTAATTGACAGTAACTAAATCAATCCAACGTTGCCTGGTCTTGATGAGTGTGAGTTTTTATGTGAGACAACTTTTTATTATTTTTTAAAACAGCTCTTTAGTGCTTTTTTTTTTAAATTGTAATAAAACTTTTTTTTTCTTAAGAACTATTTATTTATGTAAAAAATGATGTAAATTATAGTCAAACTATGGCCATGAAACCTAATTGTGTGTAGTGACCTATACTAATGTGTTCTCTATAAAAGATTCAATAGCTCTGCTAAGGTTTTGGGAGTCGTACTCCTCGAGTGGTGCTCATGTAGAATTTCTGCTTTTAGCAAGTGTTTTATTCCCTTCTCTTTATATTGTTTTTTCTTTTATTTTGGCAATTTGTGGTTCTTCATGATTTCTTCCACCTTCGCCTGATTATTTGGTCGTTGTCACTGTAAAACCCTTTCATGATTTCTTCCAAAGCTGATTATTCGGACGAACTGGCTTTAGTACGGGACGAACTAAAGAAATTGTGAAGAAATATGTATGGTTCGTCTGGACGAATCTGTAAGTGTCGGGACGAACCGTCGGGACAAACCAAACAGAGAGTTTCGTACAGGGACGAAGAAAATTGGAATTTATTTTCGTCTGGATGTTTTGAGTCCAGAGAAGATCGTCCCGGGACGATCGAGACATCGTCCTGGACGATCCTGCTTAATAAATATCTGAATAGTATCATTTTTGAAAAGAGAGAAAGCTGTGGAGAGAGAAAAATGAAGGGAAAAGAAGAAAAGTGGATTTTTGAGCGACTTCGACCCGTTTTCGTCCGTCGCCGTAGTTGGAAAAGTTGATCGACTCGAGGTAAGGCACATTCCGCCTTTCTCAATTTTTAGAAACGAGAATTTTGACGACTTTTCTGTCTAGAATTTTGTTTCCGTTAGCGAATAATTGATTTTATTTCGCACTGATAAATGTTTTACCGCGTAGCTTTTGGTATATTTCTGAGATGATAATTGTGCACGTTTTGAGTATTTTCTGGAATATTTTTACCGGATATTTTGAATTCTGCGACGTTTTAATTGAATTGCAAGTTATCAGGATGTTGAAAAAATGTTACGTCAGTACAATGAAAGTCTCATAATGTTGTTGTGGATATTCTGTGATAATTTGGTAAATTTCTGAATCTGTGATTTATGTGTAAATTCCGTATAATGTCGTTATGCCGCTGACGAATTTTCTGACGAAGTCCGATTTTCTTATTTAAATGTTTTGATGTGTGCATGCTATCAGAAGGGAGTTATAAGGGGCCAGAATCCTTTGAGATTCTGTCTGTGTCCGGGAAAATCTGAAATCTGAAAATAAGTTATGTTCCGGAAATTCTGTATATCTGATATGTTCTGGTGCTATAAGCACGACGGGAGACATAAGGGGCCATAATCCGTCGAGATTATGTCTGTGTCAGGGAAGGGAGGCATAAGGGGCCAGAGTCCGTTGAGATTCTGTCAGGGTCAGGGAATTTTGATGATTGATATCTGATAATCTGGTCTGTTTTATGAATTATCCGATATATGATTTTTGATTTTCTATATGATTCTGTCTGCTCTGTGAATTGAAAGCCTTATGATATCCGATTTGAAATGACTTCAGTTTTTTATATCAGTTGTTTGATTTCTGTTGATCAAGTATTTGTTCTGTCTGTTCTACGATTTCGCTATTTTCTATTGTATTTTCTGATGTGAATTTCTGACTATTTTGATTGGTGAGTGATGTCTTGCTGAGCTGTTAGCTCATCCTTATTTTTTGCGTGGTTTTTAGGTTATGGGAAAAGGGAATGAGGTCTTGGACTAAAAGTTCTGTGTCTGATCTGAGATTAGGTATTTTATACTTTTGATTTTTTGTACAGTCATGACTTTTCTGTTCTGTTATGTTATTTCTGTCTGAAGTCATGGATTGTATTGTATATGATTGTTTTGATGAAAGAAAATATAGATGAACTGTTCTGTATTTGGATGTTTATAGTACCTATGTATTTTTCTCTCTATTTAATATTTGGAAGAAAGTTTTTAAGCAAATTCCAAAGCTAGATTCTGAATTTTCAATAGTTCCGTCGCGACCCGATGCGAGCGGGATCCGTCCCGGTCGGGTTGGGTCGTGACAAACTTAAGTGGTATCAGAGCAATAGTTTTGGAATTTGGATTGTAAGACAGAGCTATAGGAATTGATCTATAAGTCTGTCAGGGTAGTTCTGGTTTGTCTGAATTTTAAATTTTTGTCGCGGCCCGACACGAAGGGATTCGTTCCAGTCGGGTTGTGTCGTGACAGCCACTAAGCTGAAGGGTCCAAGTTTTCTTCATAAGAAATTGCATTCTCGTTCATTTTGTGATGCTCTGTCCGGGTCGTTTGCCTCAACTATTTTTCTTGAACTCAAAACCACGGCACATCGCGGCTTGCCTTCTTTATGGATTTCGGATGATGAAATCTTATATCTTGTGGCTCCGCTCGAATGCGCCTTAGCTGGGTATTTTTCTGCTCGTAGGTCAACTCTTGATGTGATTAGGAAGTTTTTTTTCAACTTTAAGCTCAATAGTGATTTCAATATTACCCTCTTAAACCTGAAACACGATTTGATTAAATTGGTGAACGACTTGGATTATAGTGACATGTTCTCTCATCGTTTACACTTAGTTAACAATTGTTGTATGAAACTTATCAAACGGTCATCTTTCTTGGATGTAGATGCCTAGTTATCTCGATTTGGGTATCTTTCCTAATCTTCATCCTCACATATTTTCTAATCATATTCTTCATGGATTAGGATCTTTATTTGATAAGTCGCTTATGACCTACAATGCGACCTTAGTTGTGTCGAGGCCCTCTATAGCCCGTGTGCTGGCTGAGATTGATGTCACCAAACGTTATCCCAACATGTGTGGCTGGATTCTGAGAAATTTGGTTACATTCAACATGTTGAGATGGATATTTTCCATTCCTTTTGTGAGCATTGTAAGTACTTGGAGCATTTAAGAATGGATTGTTACAAAGTGAACCCCCAATTAACTATTAATCCTGTTTGCACTAGGGTTGATAATCATCTTCTTCCTACTGCTATGGGTGATGTGGTCAGCACTAATCTTCTTCACTCAACAACTATAATGGATAGGAATATTGTCACTTCATCTCAAACTTTCCTTCAAAAAATAGGGCCACCAAAACCCATCAACCCACCCTCATTCTGAAAAATTAGAATATATTTAACCTGAACAATAACCTCCTTAGTATGTGCGTATACATTTCACAACACATATTTTACCGATCAAACCAGTTATGTGACACATTATGATTTGTCTCATATTGTGATTAAATCTATAAAACTCTCTAATACGAATTATCATGAACTACAACTACAATAAAGATTTATGTTATGAGATAATAGTCACAAAGTATTGCATATGTCACTACAGGAAAAATGGCTATTACCGGCGATTACCGGCGGTTACCGACGGCCACCGGCGGTTCTACGGTGGACAGCCGGCGGTTTAGACCGCCGAAAATACCGACGGTTAGACCGCCGGCGGTCTACCGGCGAAGACCGGCGGTTTTAAAAAAATACGACGGCTAACTGAACCGCCGGCAAACCGTCGGTAAACCGACCGCCAGTGGCATAATCTATGAAATAACTAATACAACAACTAATATAATCATTAGCAATATGTCATCACAATGCAAAATTCACCAAAATATAATATGATATCATATGAATAAACTATAAGAATAAAAAATAAAAATATATATCATATGATTTTATCTTTTATTTTGTCAAAGCCAACCACGTAGCTTATAAACAATTTTTTCAATGTCATATGATGTACAGATAAGGATACCATAATATACATAATAAAAAAAATATAATAATAATTATATGATTAAATAAATATAAATGGATCTAATGAAAGAGGGCCATAAAAACGACACTGAATCATATTATATTATTTATTACACAAGTACTGATGAAATATAATATTAATATATGCTAAGTGTCAATACAAAATAATATTAAAAATATATTAAGAAAGTATGCTCAACGTTGAATAATTTCACCTTCATGATGTGGCAAATTAATGATAATAGACATTGTTATTGTTTATATTATCTTTGATTATTATTTTTGGGAGGTTTAAAAAATAGTTTGGTTTTGTTTGAAACCAATCCATTATTATGGCATCATATGATATAATATCCAAAAAATATATTAGTTTATATAGGCATTATAATGATTGATGATTAATTTAAGATCCATTATTTTAAAATTAGTGGTAACTGGTAATGATTGTTGAATGCAATAAAAGAATAAGAGAGTATTTTGCCTTAGTTTTGTATGAAAATTTACACTAACATATAATGAAAAGAATAGTTGCAACAACGAAGTTTCTACGTGAAAAATTCACAGATAGGAAAAATCACGGGGCGTGGTCTAACTGGAATAATTATAATATGAGAGTGTTGGTAAAAAAGATTTGTCCATCTTTTAACTTGGAGGTATCAAGATTACAAAAGTTTTGAGAATTGATAGCAAATATGGTGGAATATGTTTGGAAGTTTGTGGCTGAGTGACAACATCCTGACAATATTGGTCGAGCAATGAGTTCAATGGTAGTAATCGAGGATAGTAGTTAGACGATAGCGTTTAGACGGTGGTCCAAAACTGATGATCAGGCACAGAAGGTTCAACAGTGATGGCGGTACATCGAAGGTTCAACGGTGATGGCTGTACATCGAAGGTTCCATGGTGGGAGGCAAATAACTGACAGCGGCGATTGGCCGATGAAGATTGAATGACGGTGGTTAGGCGCTGTTATAGCTAGACAAGTAGTTCTCCAATAATGATTTGACAACTATGATCAGACAATAATCCAATGAAAGAGATTGGGCGGACAAGATTAGATCGCGGCTATCGAACGGTGAAGGGCATGCATGGTTAGAATTTTTCCTAGAAAAAAAAAGAGAGAAATTCTATCAACTTTAACATTTATTAATTTCTGATGAAATAAGTCAAATAAATTATATTTTATTTTCTTCCATTCAAATATATTGTTGAAATTTTTCTTCTTAAAAGCTGTGAAGCACTTCTTTTTGTCTCTTAGCAATAACATGATTGTCTTCTCCTTCAATCCTTTTAAAGACGCTTTAACTTTGCCTTTACTCTTTTTCCATTGTTCTTTTTCTTCTATTCAAATAATATGTTAAGGCTCCACTATCATTTTCTCACTGACATGTTTCCACCTTCATTGTTTAATTAATTGGTCATTTAATGCTATAATTAATTTGGTACAAATTATAATATTTACACATTTAAAATTTTGTATTAGTTGACAGTTAATATAATTTAAAAATAATTAAATATAATGCAAACAAAAACAACATCAAATCAAACCTTTGTCCTGTAATACTTTTTCTCCATTGTGTTACGTTAAAAGTCAAATTCTCGTTTAAATTTAATAAAGAAATATTATTTTTAATATTTTCTAACCAAGTCTTTTTAGTTCCACCTCTACCTTTCTTAAAATAAGTCAAATCTAATACCACAACTTTCCTAATCGGGTCATCAGAAGGTCACCGTTTTATGTGACCAAATCATATGAGGCGACTCTATCTAATCTAATCTTTCATTGGAGCTACTCCAAACTTTCCACGTATATCGATATATGCTCATTTCATATCTTATCTCTAAGGGTAAAGCCACTCATCCACCTGAGCATCCTCATCTCTGCAATACTTAACTTAGTATTATCCTAAATCCTAAAGAATTAAACATAATGTATAATTAAAATAAAATGAATTTGTTAATTTCTCTCACTCTGTGATATTAATAAATTTTTTATTTATTTTTAAAAATTTGATAAATTTAAATTATTTTAGGCTATTGTGATATATTTGTCATATCAAATTAAGCTTATTTAATGCATATTGTGTTCGGGCTTTGGCTTGAGCTCATTTAATGAGCTCTTACTCGTCTCATTTGAAAAATATTAGGCTTGAACTCAGCTTGATTACCCAAGCTCATTTAGAAAGCTCAAACTGGGCTCGAGAAATATTTTAAATTATTTAGTATATATTTTATTACATTATTCTGAAATTAATTTTGAAACATTTTTTAATTAAATCGAAGTTCAATAAACTTGTGAGTCGAGCTATGTTGAGCTCGAATATAAGCTCGAACTTGCACTCACAATTATTGTAAACTCTTTAATGAATCGAGTTCGAACCAACTCACCTGATGACCCGATGACTTAGAAGAACCACTATACGAGAAATTATTCTGTGCGGAGACCAAACGTAAAACGCCTTTCAGAGACCAACCAGAATCCGCCACGTTAGCGGTACCGAGCAATATTGGTTCGCGGTACCAAATAAGAGGTGGCGTGACATATTCTGACTGATCTCCGGATGACATCCGACATTCATACAAAATAATTTTTCCCACTCCACAGACTTCTAAGACGCTTCTTTATATAAATAATAAATAAATTATAAATAAACAAAAAGAAGAGGTCAAACCAGGCTTTTGTCACTACTACACAAGGTTTGAGGAAGAGCTGCCCCTCCAATCCTAATAATAATAATATTTTAATAAAAGTCTTTGGTAACTACAAATAGAGAGACCATGGAGACCATGTGGTCTTCTTAAGGCTTAGCATTTTAATATTGCACATTTTCACATACAACAAAATATACATAACTAATATCCCTCTTCTCTATTGTGATGATTGAAGGCTTAGCTTTTTGACCAAAATTAATAATCTATTTTTAAATTAAAAGTGTCATTTTCCAAAAATATTTATTTAAAATAAAGATGTTCATATAATTTGATACTAAAAAAGACTCTTAATAATATTTTTTATTAGATGTAAATAAGAATCTGATTCTTAATAAGACATAATCAAGAGAAAATGAAGCCGACCCCAAATTGTTAGATAAAGACTTTGTTTGGTACGACTTTCTTACTGCTTCTTAAAACAACTATCTATTACAAATAATAAAATTTTTATACTAAAAAGTAATAGAAAAACTGTCCCTAATGAAGCCAAAGTCATATTATTATTATTGGCGTCATTGCCATATTTAAATTAATAAAAAAATTGTTAAGATATGTCTATTATTAAATATTTAAAATATGTATATATTTTTTAATTAAAATAATATAAATTTTAAATTATAGTGTAGTGGTTATACATAGTATTAAGTAATTATTTTCCTTATATGATAAGGTGTTAATTGATCATTTGCTATTTTTTATTAAAATAATTAAAAGTTCTTTTTTTTTAATTGATATATTTATTTATTACTCTAAACTTCTGACTTTGCTTTAGCAAATTTCTTATTTGCACAATGTAAGAAAATAATTTAATATTTTTTCTGCCCTCTGTTGCAAATTTGAAATACTTAGAGAATAATTGTTTAATTAATTTTAATTAATCACCAAAATTAAAAAAAATTATATATAATCTAAAGCATAAAGTAGTAAGGCTCTGCACCCTCAGTCTCAGCGTCTTTTGTCAATATATGATTAGTTAATAAAAGCTTCGATTAACAGAAAAACCAGGGGCCCATGTGCCATTTCACTTTTCTCACTATACGCCAATAGAAAATAAAGCTCACCATTCGACAAGCATCAAATTTGCTTGTGATAGTTTCCCAACCATATTTAATTTTTTTAGTAATATTTATCTTATCTTTTAATCAATTAATAATTGTCTCGTGAGTCGTCTGCTGAGAAATTCGTGCAAGCATGTATTATTTTTTTTTTAATTAATTTTAATTTTTTTGCTCCCTTTGAGTGTTGTATGAGCTGAGATCTTTGAGTAGGTCTTTAAGTTCTTTATTGCTTTTAGACTGTGGAGGATATTTGAAATAAATGCAAAGTTAAATAAATAATAAAAAAATTAATATATTTGAAATATTTTAAAATTAAAAATAAGAAAGGCTGAAATGATAATGTTTAAAGTTAAAAAATAATAATATTTTGTTAAAGTCAAATAATTTGACTATGAAAGCATACAATATTTATCATTTTGAAAAATATTAGGAGGATTTTATAAAATTATAGAGAATTAGATAATAATTAAATTTTAAAATTTGAACATCTTTACAGAACTGTGCATTAGCAGAGGAGAGTTGAAAACAATTCAGTGCATTTCTATTTAAAGATTGAATGCGCTAAAGGCTAAGAATTTATTTGGGATGACTTTATTATTATTTCTTGAGACATTTTTTTAATACAAAAATCAATGAGATGGCTTTTTTAATACTTTTTAAGAAAGATTTTTAGTACAAATATTTTAATTTAAATTAAAAAAATTTATACTAAAAAGCTGTCTTAAGAAGCAGTAAGAAAGCCGTCTCAAAAGAAGCCTAATTTTGTACTTAAACTCCATTTTAAGAAGCAATAAAAAAACAGTCCCAAATGAAGACTTTAGATTAGGACGACTTTCTTACTGTTCTTAAAGCAACATTTTAATTTTTCTAATTAAAAATTGCTTTTAAAAACGGTAAGAAAGTCGTCCCAAATAAAGTCTAAGACTTCATTTTAAACAGCCCTTTTATTGATTGTTTTCAAATCAGAAACATAATTTTCAATTGGCCAATATTTTTCAACTGCTTTCGAAAAAAATTTGTACTAAAAAGTTAATTTCTCCAACAACTTTAAAAGTTACTTTCTCTGCAATAATTTTACAAAGCATAAATCTAAAATTTTGTTTGATATAATTTTTTCCATAACTATTGAAAATAGTTCTTTACTTGTATGCAAACTGTGCTCCATAATTTTACAAGCATATAAATGAATTGAGAAATAAAATTCAGAGACTCAAAAACTAAAAGCCCCATAAACAGCAAAACAAATACAAATATCACCAAACTCCAATAACAATGCAATCACCTATGCTGCTTTTTAACAATCAAATGATTCAAAATGAGTCCTTCATAATTATCATATACCTTACTTTCTAAGCTATTGGTCCATTTTCAGAGAAATTATTACGTGCGATCACTGGAATCAGAATGCGCCATGTCACTTCGGTACATAACAGTACACAGCACTGATACACAACAAATAGTGGCCCTGATTCACCTCTGGACAACGTCCGGTATGACCGCACATAATAATTTCCCCTGTTTTCATGGCATGCTTTGAGCGCCTATCTTAAATACGAGTACAATAATGAAACTATATCGAAAAGATCACAATAGAATATGTGTTGAGAAATTTGGCAAGTTTCTAAGATCAGAAATCAAGAGAATTTTAAAAAAAAATTGCACCGATGCTTCAAAGGTCTTCAAGGGAATTAGACCGTTAGAAATTAGAAAGTTTGAAAACCAGCTCACATGACTAAAGACCTAAAAAGAGAACATTTTCTCGTCAAAACTAAGCAAATCAAAAGCATAGCATGGTGAAGAGGAATCCGGCAACAAGAAGCACCGAGCAAATTGGAGTGTAAAATTCTACATATGGAAAAAAGAACCGGATTCCTCTTCACCAGAAAACAGTCATTCTTCCTTTCTCCTTTCTCTTTTCCTACTCAGATCCATAAAATTCTCAAAAAATTTGATGATTTTATCTAGAACTTCAACTCAGTTCTTCTTCTGAGGTACCTTGAGGAAACCTGATTAGCTCAAGTATGTTAACCACCTCAGTCATATCTGGCCGGCTTGATGGCACCTGTGAAGTACAAATCAAGGCGAGCTTGATCACTGGTATAGTCTCTTCCATTGGAAACTTCCCACAGAGCTTAGCATCCATGCAATCCTCAACTCTATCCAAATCAAGCAATCCCCTAACCACGTCACAAAGAACAATCACATCATCCTCAGCATACTCCACCGGCTTCCTCCCTGTCACAATCTCAAGTGCAAGCACTCCAAATCCATAGACATCGCACTTCTCGGAAATCACCAAAGTCCTAGATGCGAATTCAGGCGCCATGTATCCCAACGCGCTCTGAATCTTACTACTGAGGACGTACCGATCGAGCATCGGCAACAGCTTTGCCAATCCATAATCTCCAACCTTAGGCTCCCCAGAATCATCAAGCATTACATTAGATGATTTCAGGTTGTAATGTATTACACCGTGTTGGTGAAGATAAGCCAAACTCTTTGCAGTCCCTAGAATTATGTCAAACCGTTCTTGCCATGAAAGAGTCTTACTCTTTGAGCTTTCATGGAGGAGATTGTATAAACTCCCACCGGATACATACTCATAGATTATGAGTTGTAAAGAAGAAGTCCAGTAATAACCTTCAAGAGTAACAAGATTGGGATGCTGCAATTTCCCCAGCTTCTTCACCTCCAGCTCAAAATCTTGTTGGGATTTCACTACACTTGAAACAGTGAGCTTCTTGATTGCCACCGGCCGGCCATCTTGGAGCATGGTCTTGTAGACAGCACCAAAGCCACCACGGCCAAGCTCACAATCCTTGTTCAGTAAAGCATGAGCTCCGGCGCAAAACTCAGGGTCATTTCGAGAGAACATGACAAGCTTTCCAGAGCTGGAATCAGTAGTGGGAGATTGTCTGAGGTAGTCATCAGTAACAGCCATTGCGGCGGCAGAATGCGAAGCCGATGTTTTCACTCCAAGGTTTATGATAGATATGGTGATGACACCAAGGATGATAATGGCAGCAGCAGCAATGGCAACAAGGGCAGATATGCTGAAGACAATCTTCTTGTGGTGGTAGTTTTCAGTAGGAAGAGCTGAGGTTGAAGAGGGAGTGGAGGTTGAGGAGGAATTGGGGTTAAGCACTATGGGCTTGGGAAGGAAAGCAGGACAGGAACGGTTGACAGCAGCACCACAAAGGTCTGGATTGTCAGCAATGGAGGAAAACGAAATAGTATTGAAGAAGTTCCCAGCAGGAAGATCACCTGAGAAGTTGTTGTAGGAGATGTTGAAAGAGAGAAGGTGAGGAAGGTCACCCAGTTGCTTTGGTAGGCTTCCTGTGAGCTTGTTAAGAGAAAGATCTACATTTTGGAGATTGGTGAGATTGGCTAAGCTTGGAGGAATTGAGCCAGTGAGATTATTCTGTGAAAGATCCCTATAAGTAGAATCCAAACAGGTGAAGACAATAAGATGGTGACCAACATCATATAAAGCCTAATTACAAAAATATAAAATAATGACAATGACAGGAGTTGCTCAGTAGTGTTAAGTGCTAAGGACAAAAAAGTAGAAACCTGGTTAGAATTCATGAACAAAAGGTCTAAACTTCCATGAATTAAAGCAGTTAATTAAGTAAACTTACAGCAAAGTGAGGGAAGCACAGCTACTAATCTTTCCAGGAATTTCTCCACTGATAGAGTTTTTTGACAGTAATAGCTCTTTCAAGGCTAATGCTCCTTCAATTTCAAATGGAATGCTACCAATGAGCTGATTCCCACTCAAATCAATAACTTCAACGGACTTCAATTCACCAAATGCTAATGGGATAGTGCCTGAGATTCTGTTTGAGGATAGATTCAAGAACTGCAAGCTCTGGATGGCTGAAATTTCATTCGGAATATTTCCAGAGAAGGTGTTCCTGGAAAGATCCAGCACTGTTATTGTTGAAGAACTTGCTGCGGGAATTTGAATAAATCCACTCAGTTTGTTCTCTGCAACCTTGATCTTTCTCAACCTTAGAAGGAAGATCCATTGTTGCAGATTGCCAGTTAGAAAATTGCGACTCAAATCCAAATCAAGAAGGCTTGTGCAGTTAGCCATGGATTCCGGCAATCTCCCAGTAAAGTTGTTCTCAGAAAGGTCAAGTCCTTCCAAGGCTTGAAGATGACCAATGGAACCTGGAATCTGGCCCAAAAATTGATTTCGGGACAAATCCAAAGTTTGAAGATTCGTCATTTCTCCTATCCAATCTGGAAGCTCACCAGAGAAGGAATTTGAGCCTAATCCAAGATAACTGCACATGGAAAGCCTCTGCAAGGAGCTCGGAAGAGATCCAACGAGCATGTTCCCGCCAACATCAATATCTTTTAAAAGTAAAGAGCCCCCAATATCCTCAGGCAAGTTCCCTGAGAGCTGATTCCCGCGCAAGTTCACCGACCTGAGATTGAACATCCGGCCAATCCCCACCGGAATCTCTCCGGCGATAGCATTATCAGAGAGATCAAGAGACCGGAGATCACTCAAAGACCAAATTCCGCCCGGCAAAGCACCAGAAAGCTGGTTGGAGGAAAGGTTCAGTGCTGCAAGGGTGGAGCAAGAGCTCACATTGGAAGGAATCTCCCCAGAAATCCTGTTGTTAGCTATAGAGAGAAACCTCAAGGACCCGCATTGCGAGAAGAATCCATCAGGAATTGAGCCAGAGAAGCTGTTATGGCTAAGATCGACGCTCCGAAGGCTCTCCAGACGGAGAAGTTCGGCGATGAGGAAGCCGGAGAAGTTGTTTCTCGAAAGTGAAAGGGTTTGTAGGTTTTGAAGCTGGAGAACGCCGCGACCGAGCTTGCCGGAGAGGGAGAGCCCATCGAGGGCGAGCTCTGAGACTCGGTTGGAGTTTGGGTCGCATTTGACTCCGAACCAGTTGCAAGGGGTGTCGTCGTCTTCGTTCCAAGATGCAAGCTTTGAATCCGGGTCTTCGATGTCGGCCTTAAAGACGATTAAACCCAGGACATCGTCGTTTAGGGTTGGCGTCGCGGAGAGAACGAGGAGCGGTAGGATGAAGAAGAAGCAGAGCGGTAGATGAAGTCGGGAGCTCATGTTCAGCACAAATGGAGAAAGATCTAAGCTTGGAGAAAGAAAAGGCAGGAGCTTTTTAAGCTGAGAGATTACGCAAAAAGACGCATTGAAGTTCGCCGGAGTCAAGGCAAGCTTCGGTGTAGATATTGCGCCTGAGGACCAGAAAATGGTAACTCTCCTACCACTACAGAGAAAGTGAGGAAGAAGCCGAAAAAGGCCAATTTGAAGAGAGAGAGAGAGAGGGGCGGTGGGGGGAGAGGCCACTTTGCTTACTGGAGATGCTCTCCCCTTGCGCAGGTTCTTGATGGTTAGTTAAGTTCCTTTCTCCTGTATTAATCACTCATTATAAACTAAATTAATCTCTCATGGTTTATTAATATAGATCACTGGTTCTCTGCCCAAGTTGGTATATGGCTGATATCGAGAAGTTCGAACGCAGCTGGCTCAATTCAAAATTAATAAGGATTAAGTCATCTGCACTCAATCAAATTTTATTTTTTTGCTTTTGTTTTTTGAGCTCAAAAATCAAAATTAAATTGATCTCCATCGATCCAATTCCAAAGTCCAAATACTTTCATCTTTTGTTAACTCCATTTTTTTATTTAATTATATATATAGATGGTTTGGTCACATAAAACGGAGGTCTTATGATGACCCGGTTAAGAAAGTTGAGGTACTAGATTTGACTTATGTTAAAAAAAGTAGAGCTATACCTAAAAAGACTTTGTTAGAAAATATTAGAAATGATCTTTCTTTATTAGATTTAAATGAGAATTTGACTTTTAACCAGACACAATGACGAAAAAGAATTCATATAGCCGACCTCACGTAGTGGGATAAAAACTTGATATAATATATATATATATATATATTATATATATATATATATAATTTTTTTATGTATAATATATATTATTATATTAGATAATAAATAATCTTTGAAATAAAACGTTTTTGAATCAATAAAAACTTACAAATAATTATTTATTATGTTAAATTATGACAGTGAATTAATTATATCACCATAAATTATCGCTATTTATTGTCTTCATCAAATACAAACAGGCTTGCTTCATAGTCCCAGCTGAAAGAAATAGTAATATTCCACACACACATTTGGACCCCTACACACAAGTTAATTACTTGTAAAACTCTGGATTTCATTTCATTAAGCCCTTGTGTCCTATTATAACTTATAAAACATAGGTATCACTTCAAAATATTTTTTTTTCATGGACTTCTGTCATCAATAATTCACCATACGTTTTCAGTGAGAATCGCAAGGATGATTCTTATTTAGGCTTATCGTTTGTGATGACTTTATCTTATTGCTTTCTTAAAGTAGTTTTTTATATAAAAAAATTAAGAGATTATTTGGGTGATTTTTTATATTCTTAAGGCATCTTTAGTACAAAAATTGTAATTTTTATACTGAAAACTGTTTTAAGATGTAATTAAGAAACAAGTTCTAAAGGAAGTCTAATTTCGTACAAAAAGCTACTATTAAGAAGTAATAAAAAACATCGTCAAATAAACCTTAAAGGTGTCAATGGGTTAATGGTCCAGGGTTTAGATCCTATTTTGGAATTAGATGATACTGGTCTAAGTTATAGAGTCAAATTAGTACCTAACCCCTTATAATAAACAAAAAAAAAGTGGGCCTCCAACCTGAAATCCAACTACAAGTCAAATTCCGTAGCCCGACCCAAACGATAGCCTATTTTGATTAAAAAAATTATTGAGTTTAGAATAATTTGTCATAAGCAAAAATAGCATACAAAAAAAAAAACAAAAAAAAAAAATAATAATAAAATAATTAATAAATAATAAATAATAATAATATTATTAATAATTAATCAACGATGAGTCAATTAGGTTAAATCATTAAAATGTTCAAATCTAAAAAGCCCTAAATTCTTTTTTTTGATAAAATAAGGCTAAAATGTATAACAACCTACAACAAAATATGACAATGAATAACCAATGCAATTATATTATATTTGTAGTGCGGCCTCAAATTTAAAAGGAACATTAATGTCATTTGGTTGGGAAAGATGTGGAACCCTTTGAATGCAACCTTCTTAATGTATTACAATATGAAACTTTTATTGAATAAGGATACAGAAAATGACAATTATATTATTATTATTATTGTGTTATTATTAATATTTATGAGATTCAAAGAGCTCCTCTTTGATTAGGTTTACATAAATTATTATCTGAAATTCAAATATTATTATAGGGGGGTTTACATTGAATATTCTAAATCTTTAATATTTATTTACACATATATTAATACATATAAATTTTAAATTATTTTTATGAACACCATGAAATAAATCACATCAAATTTATATTTATAAAAATGATTTTCATATTATAAGATATTAATGTTACTAACATTTTATTATTTAATGTAAATTAAAGACTAACAATATTATATAAATAAATATAAAAATTCCAAGTATTTATATATTTAATATCAGAAATAAAATTTCAGTAATATAAGTAAAAATTCCCTCTTTATATTAAATGACATTTATTAAAATCACCTATGTATAATAAAAAATATAACTAAAAATTCTATCTACTCACAGTTCCTTAATTTTATATGTATTTATAAATTTAATTAAATATAATACTATACATTCTATTAATTTTATCAATCGATGATTTATCATGAATTACATAATGTAATAACAGAAACTACTAGAACCATCTAAACACGTGAAATAAAAAATTGTAGGAAAATATAGTTTTAAAACCTCAGCATAATTGGAAAAGCAAAATCAGGCTTATGGTTGAGCAATTAGTATTAGTTTCAACAAAAGTAAAAGCTAAAAAGCCAAAAGGAAGGATCCTTTATAATTATTGCCATATGGGAATGCAAAAGGATTGTTAGTATGCAAACTGAATCATGGTGAAGAACTAAATGAATCACAATGTAAACCTATAATGAACAAATGCCCATTGATCAAAAGTTTTGATACATGGTGATTAGATTAAGGAGGGTAAATTAAAGATTCTTAATTATTTAAATTCAGTTAGAATTGGATCAGTGCCATCAATTATTTATAATGATTAATTGACTATAAGAACTATAAAACAAGATAGCATAGTGAAAATAACGAATCAACTCGATCATCGTCAACACATCAGTTTGGTAGGTTCAATGTCAAAGAGTTATTATGAAGTAGACAGAATAGATATTGCATATGAGAATCGTCACATTACCGACAATGCTTACATCAAAAGAGTATTTATTGGTTAGAAGCTTGAGGCAATCAAATGTTCAACAGTGAATTGAAGAGCATATTTGTGCACATCATAGTAACATGGGCGGATCCCCATATTAGTAGAGGAGGCGGCAAATGCCACACCCTCAATATTTTTTTTTTATTTTTAATTTTTAAGAGGGTTATAATTTTAGAAATAATTTGGGAGTATTATTTGCCACCACTCATTAAAAAATTTTTTTGCCATAATTTATCATCCTAAATATAGTTTGCCCATACTCTACCAAAAAAATTTTTTTTGCCCCCCTAAAAAAAGAAGCTGGATCTGCCCCTGCTACACGTAGTTACAATATAAGAAATTATATATGTTAATCCATAACGTAAATAAATTTAATCCCTCTTGAGAGCATAAAAAAAAAAAACTTTGATCAAATCGAACAGCTATTAGATTTAGCTAAGTCTGGTAATGCTTAGTTAATCAAAAGGATTAAGCTTAAATCAAACTCACGTTCTATTATATGTAAAGTAACATCATCACTATAACTTCAACGATACAATTCATTCTTTGTAGTCATCAACCCTTAAATTAGGGGTTTAATAATGGTACAGAAAAAAAAAAAAAAAAGAAGAAGCAGAAGGCAAAACAACAGGTTATAGAAATACATATCTAACAATTCATCACCTTATTCGAATTAGCCCCATGTTAGAGAGAGAACATTGGCAGAAGGTACAATGCTATTGTACCCTTCAAGGTAGAATCCCGATTTTAGTACTCAGAACAAAAGAGTTTCACAATTATTAGTCTAAAGTTGCTTTAAGTAATTCGAATCTGGAATAAACCTTAAGAAGAACAATTCTCAATCGTGTTGGAACTATCATGCCCTAAATTTAGATTAAGAATGAATAAATCGAACACTCAATAAGTGGAACCAAGACCTTCCTTAATAACTAGAAAGAAATTCTCAACACATAGCCCAAAGCCAAAACCTTTAACTAACGGGCCCAAATACCTAATTATAATCCTCTTATAATGTTGATACGACCTAAGGTCCAAAGCTACAATCTCGTGCTCATACTTAAGCAAAATCTGCCCTGTTAGGGCCCTAATAGATCACTTAGGCGAACCCTTCTCTTCTATACATAAGTCATATCTTAGACAAGATTCCCTCTGATTCAATGACGTTCTACATGCCACAAGAACTCGTTGAGTTGGCAGCTCATCTTGACTCTAGAATAGTCAACTCTCAG